AGGCCTGAGGCCCCAAAAGGTGGACTTGCTGGCTCTCAGGTGCCCATTAAGGGAGTAGTGGAACAGGCATGGGACCATGGGAGCCTGAGACTGCCTGCTGGCCACCCCACCATGCAGAGGGGCCGGCTCCAGACCGAGTGCTCTCAGGGATCCTCATGTTCCCTCTGCTGCAAAACAGTGTTTCCAAATCCCTAAGGCCCATTTGCTCTGACCAAGCAACTCGACTTGTAGGAAGTTGTGGGACAGATGTGCAGAGATGGTGCTCCAAGGGCTGTAGCCTGCAGAAATTTTAAGGTGTTCCTTAAATTTCTCATCCCACATCATCCCAGGACTGGGAATGGGATGGATCTTACTCCCGTGATGATGTTGTTATTGGGCACCGCTGACCTTAAGATGTGGAGGTAATCCAGGTGGGCCTGACCCCACTGGTTGCAGAAGAGGAAGTCAGAGAGATTTGAACTATGAGGGGGATTCACTGTGAGGGAGGCTCTCTATTACTGAGATGGAGGAGGCCTCGTGGCCAGGGCCTCAGAGTGGCCCCCAGCTGACAGCAAGGAAATGGGGACCTTGGACATGGATCCTTCTCCAGCTGAGCCTCTGGATGAGGACGCAGCCTGGCCAATACCTTGATTGCAGCCTCGTGAGACCCTGAGCAGAGGATCAGTTAAAACATGCCAGACTCTGACACACAGAAGTGGTGAGATAATAAATGTTTGTTGTTTTAGGCAACTAAATTTGAGGTACTTTGGGCTGGCCCAGTGGTGCAAGTGGTTAAGTGCGCACACTCTGCTGCGGCAGCCCAGGGTTCGCCAGTTTGGATCCTGGGTGCGCATCGACGCACCACTTGTCAGGCCATGCTGTGGCCATGTCCCATATAAAGTGGAGGAAGATGGGCACAGATGTTAGCCCAGGGCCAGTCTTCCTCAGCAAAAAGAGGAGGATTGGCAGATGTTAGCTCAGGGCTGATCTTCCTCACACAAAAAGTAAATAAATAAAAAATAAATAAATTTGAGGTACTTTGTTACACAGCAGTAGCTAACTAATACATGTATAGCAATAGCCAACTAATGAATAGTGGGTGTTCATCCCACTGTGGTTTAAAAACCCATAAGCTGCAAACAACATAAATGTCTAACAGAAGGGGATCATGTAGATAAACTATTGTAAACCCATTAATAATAATAATGATTTCCATGATGATGCCATTTGCCATTGGTCCAGGGCCAGGCTCTTGGGTAAATGCTGTTATTATCCCTATTTCAGGGATGAGAAAACTGAAGAACAGAGAGGGCAAGTCATGTCCAAGGCCACACAGGGGATAAGGGGCAGGCTAAGGTTACTGTTTCCATGATAAAGCCAGAGCTTCTGCAATGAGCTCACCAGGTGGAGTATGTGTCAAGGGGCCACCCCGAGGTGATCAATTGGCCTCCAATTGGTGACTTAGTTCTTAGAGACTTTTGGAGAACATGCCAATGCCCGATGATTCATCCAACATTGTTCCTGGTGTCTCACTGGGAGCCACTGGGGCATTAAGTGTAAAGTTGGGAAATGCTTGATCCCAAGCAGTGCAGCCCATGGTTGTGGTGTTCCTAATTCTCTCAACTTCTCCAAGCCTCAGTTTCCTCATCTGGCAGATGGGTCCAAACCACTGTATCTACCCCAGAAGGCAGTTGTGGGTGCCAAGCACTGAGCACAGAGCCTGGTGCATTTTAAGCACTCACTGTGGGGTGACTGTTGTTACTGTTGTCTGTTTCTCATGAATCTACAGATGCTCAGAGAGGGGAAGTGCCTTTCCTACCATCGCACAGCAAGTTGGTCAGCCCTTAAAGCCAGCTCCTCCCGTGTACTCCTCCATTCAGCAGTCCGGCTGTTTCTACCCTCTCCATCCTCTACTCCAGACCACCTGCTCCCTTGCTACCCTATTCCTGCCCTTCTGTGGCCCCTCTGGGCAGTGCAGCCCTGCCTAGTCCAATGTTCATCTGGCCTAGCTTCCCAAATAAACAGCTGGGCACAGACAGTGGGCAGACAGGTCAGTGTGTCTGAGAAAGTGCCGGGATCTTCCCTGTAGGATCAACTGATCTCAAGTGAAGGGTGGAGGGTCCCAGAGCTTTGACCCTTGGCTCAGACAGGCTGGAGTTGGAATTGCTGCAGTAGCACATGAGACCTTGCTGTCTTTCTGGGCCTCATTCTCCTCATCCATGAAATGGGCTGATAGCTGTGTTTTGAGAATTAAATGAGATCATTTATTCATTCAACATATTTCCTGAGCACCTACTCTGTGCTAGGCCCTGTGCTGAGGTTGTTCAATGGGGAAATATATAGGAAGGGACCTAGGTACCAGCGGCAGGGTGAAGGCTAATCAAGAGGGCTCTGGGTCAGAAAGATCCAAGTTCAAGTTCCAGCCAGCCTACTATTGGCAGGCTGAATGCCCCCACGTGCTGCCTCACCCCTCTAAGCCAAGTTTCTCCATTTGTAAATGGAGATATTAATGACAGGTACAGGAAAAGGTTGCCAGGAATCTAGCATTCCCTTTGGGGCCAGCAGTTCATAGTCAGGGGGTAAATGGATGGTAGTGCCAGCCCGGCAGCAGTGGGCAGAGCTAAGGAGATCGCCTGGTAGAGACATAAGACGGTCACTGAACTTCACCTTCCCGTCTCACCTCAAAATCTTCATCCTATGACCACGGTTTGTAATTAGAATAAAGCAAGAAAGAAAACAACTCAAGAGCTTTCTGCAGGTCAGGAGACCTAGGAGCCTAGGAGGAGCTTGCCTGGGCAAGCTAGCACTGGTCTTCAGCCTCAGTTTCCCCACCTGTAAAATGAGAGAGTGATAAAATGGCACAGTTAGGGGGCAAGCCCCTGGCTTAGCGGTTAAGTGCGCGGTGCTCCACTACTGGCAGCCTGGGTTCGGATCCAGGATGCGCAGTGACGCACCGCTTGTCCGGCCATGCTGAGGTGGCGTCCCACATACAGCAACTAGAAGGATGTGCAACTATGACATACAACTATCTACTGGGGCTTTGGGGAGAAAAAAGGAAAAAAAGGAGGAGGATTGGCAATAGATGTTAGCTTAGGGCCGGTCTTCCTCAGCAAAAAGAGGAGGATTGGCATGGATGTTAGCTCAGGGCTGATCTTCCTCACACACACACACACACACACACACACACACACACAAATGGCACAGTTCCTGTGAAAAACGGTCTGGCAGTTCCTTGAAAGGTTAAACATAGAGTTGCCATATGACCTAGCAATTTCACTCCTAGGTATACACTCAAGAGAAGGGAAAACATCGTCCACACAAAAACTTGTATATAAATGTCCACAGCAGCACTGTTCATAATAGCGAAAAAGTGGAAACAACCCAAGTGTCCACCAATGGACGAATGGATAAACAAAATGGATAAACAAAAACAATTGTGTGGTCCATCCACACAATTGAATATTATTCAGCATAAAAAGGAATGAAGCCCTGCCGCATGCTGCAACGTGGATGATGAACCTTGAAAACATCAGCTGAGTGAAACAAGTGTTGACCTTCAAAAATAAAATAGCCAGTTATTTTACCAGCAAGTGAGTTTATTCTGGAATAGCAAAGGAATTGCAATTCATGACATGTAAACTATGGGGAGCCACAGGCAAGTCGGAGAACAAAGGTGAAGAGCATTCTTTTATAGAGAAAAAGAGGGGCATTGGGAGGGGCTGTTTGGAAGGAAACGCCATCAGAGCAGAGTGAGAATTTGAACTTCTCATTGGTTGAGCGTAGTGGTTTCTCATTGGCTGGGGTGTTGCTGGGTCAGGAGAAAATCTTCCTTCTTCCTGCTGGGGTAGTAAACTAACCTTCCTTTGGGGGAATGAAAGGTCCAGATGTACATTCCTGTTTAGAGCCTGCAGAGGGCAACGAGTGGTGTTTGAGAGCTCCCCTTTCAGGGCTTCTTAACTCCAATTTAAATGAGATTTCCTTTATTCATTTTCACAGAAGCCAGTCCAAAAGGTCACATATTGTATGATTTTGATATGAAATGTCCAGAAGAAGGAAATCTATAGACACAGAAAGTAGGTTAGTGGTTGCCAGGGGCTGGGGAGCAGGATGGGGAGTGATGGCTTAGGGGGTACCGAGTTTCCTTTCAGTGTGATGAAAATGTTCTGGAACTAGATAGAGGTGGTGCTTGCACAACATTGTGAATGTGCTAAATGCTACTGAATTGTACACTTTAAATAGATTAATTTTATGATATGTAAAATATATATTTTTTTAAAATGGGGGAAGCTGGGGATGTAGCGGTTAAGTGAGTGCACTCTACTTCAGTGGCTGAGGGTTCTCAGGGTCGATCCCGGTCTGCACCTACACACTGCTTGTCGGACTATGCTGTGGCTATGTCCCATATAAAGTGGAGGAAGATGGGCACGGATGTTAGCTCAGGCCAGTCTTCCAAAGCAAAGAGGAGGATTGGCATAGATATTAGCTCAGGGCTGATCTTCCTCACAAAAAAAAGAAAAAAAGTCTACTTTTAGGAGCAAAGATTACCCTAATCCCGCAACAACCCTGGCAGGAGTCCCATCCGCCCACCAGCCCAACCCAGCGTCCAACGCGCTCTCGGTTTGCATAGTCAAGCCCACTCACCCGCCCATCCTCTGGCCCCGCCCCCACACGTGTCTCACGCCGGCCCCGCCCCCCCACGCCCTCGCTGCGGCTCTCAACAGATGCCAAAGACGGAAGGCTTGGAGAGACTTCATAAATAATGCATCACGTCAGCGGCCGGTGGGGCGGGACTTCGACGTGCCTGCCTGAGTCAGAGTCATGAATAATACATATTGAGGAGGGGCCTGGAGCGGCGCGCGTGTCGGGGCGGAGTTCGGGTGGGACTTCCGTGCCCACCTCTAGGGCCTTGAGAGGCGGGGCCATCTACGCTTCAAGGAGAATATGCCCCCACGCTGGACCCGGAGGGGGCGTGGCCAGCCGCGTCATGAATAATGAAGCGCGTCAGCGGGCGGCGGGGCGGGGCGGCGCGTGGCCGGCGATCCAGCGCTGGAGCCGGGAAGGGGGGGCGGGGGAGCGATGGTCGCAAGATGGCGGCACTGAAGGAGGGACGGAGCTACGGGCTGTCGTGCGGGCGGGTGAGCGACGGCAGCAAGGTGTCCGTGTTTCACGTGAAGCTCACCGACAGTGCCCTGAGGGCCTTCGAGAGCTACCGCGCCAGCCAGGTGAGCGGCGCGGGCCCGGCGCGGCTGTCGTGAACGTCGGGGCGCAGGCCGGCCTCGCGCGCCTCTCGCCGCGGCGTCCTGGCCTGAGGGCGCAGGGTTCGGCGTCCGCGGTGCTGCTCGCGGGTTCCTGGCCGGCATGGAGCGCGGGGAACCCCGTTCCTTTTCAGCGCGGGGAGGCGACACTGGCGGTCGGCCCAGGCGGCTGTGGGGCCCGAAGTCTCGCGCCTGGTCGGGGGGGGGGGGGGTCTGGGTCGGCACTTGGAGGCGTCCGGGGCCTTTCCTGGCTCACCCGGCACCAGGGCAGGAACTGATCTGTGCACTTGGCCGGGGGAGGGGGTGGCTGCGGTGTCCAGGCACGGGGGGAGGTGGGGCTTGGGCTTCTCCGTCTGGGTCCCTGGTAGAGTGGCTAGTGAGGTGATTGCCCTTCCGGGGAGCAGCTTTTTCGTCTGGGTCCCTGGCAGGGTGGGTCAGTGGGGCACCGCTGTCGGGGGCACTGTGGGGTCCTGTTCCGTTTGTGTGGGAAGGCTGTCTGCACTTGGGGGCCGTCTTTGACGCTACCCAGTGACGCCCCTGCAGTTGGGCTCACTCTTGGTTCTTGAGCAGGGCAGTTGGGGCAGAAACTAACAGCTTGTCCCACTGGACACCTTTGGAGAGTGGGAGTGTTTTTGGGGGAAGAAGCTGTGCACGTAGGGGTGGCTGGCATGGTGCCTTTCTCAGGCTGGGAGCCCGTGGTGGGCACCTGGTGGGGAGCTCTGGCCACTGCTCCTGGCCGCCGACTCTCAAACTTCTCCTGGGCCGATTTGGGCCCATCTTGGAGAAGTTCCAGGCGTTTCAGTTCTGCCACCTGGCCTGGGGTGCTGGGGGTGGGGGAAGGCTGCTGTGCATCTTCTTTCAGGTCTGATTTTGGGGCACGTCTGGGGCGGTGGTCAGAAACCTGCTTCTTTCCATTTCAGTTTGTATCATGGCGCCCTCCGTCTGTGGTGGGACAGAAGTTGCAGGTGCCCAGTGGTCAGGTCCTGAGGGGAAGTGGGTTGGGGGCCTTTCTCCGGAGTCCTTGCCTGGAAAGTGGAGGCTTCATAGTCGGAAGGTGTCTGGGGAGGGGTCTGGTGTCAGGCTCAGGGATGTCCCACTCCCTGCGTGTGTGTGTTTGTGTGTGTGTGTGCGCGCGCGCTTGTGTGTGTGTGTATTTGTATTTGTGTATACTGGGGATGGGGGGGGCTCAGGCGGGTGAGGAGAGAGACTAACTAGGAAGGAATGTGGCTTTCTTCCTGCCCCAGACTTGTTCAGCACCATTAGCTAAGCTGGGAATTTCTTCCTCTGTTTCGTTCCCACCACTTTCCTGGTGCCCACCCTTCCCGTGCTTCTTCCCCCTTTTTGGGGCAATTTCCTTCCCTGTTCTGGTGTCTCAGTTTCCCCTTCATAGAACGGGGACTTCATCTTTTTTGGAAGAGCGAGTTCTCACCTTGTCAGAAAGATTCCCCAAGGTGAGGCTAAGGCGCCCCTGCAGGTGAGGAGGCGGAGGTGGGGCCAGGAGGTGGAGCCTCCCTTCCCTGTGGAATTCTAGCCCTGAGCCATCCTGACTTGTCCTGCAGGAAAGCAGGCTTTCCTAGAGACAGCTGAGGGAGAGCTCATGAGTCATGTAAATGAGGTGAACTTGGTACCTGGTCACTGCGGGTTAGGAGCCCCACCTTCCCTGCCATGCTGCCCTCGCTTGAGCCGGTCGTCCAGAAGGCCTGCCTGTGCGTCCACCTCATGCTGTCATGCTGCTATTTTTAATTTAGGGTGTTGGTTACATCCCCTAGCTAAGCTGGATCTTCCTCATGTAAGGGTGAAGGTATAAGGCAGACTCAAGCTCGTCCCCCGCGGAGCCCAGCTGTGTACGTCACTGTTAATCAGCCAGGAGGGGCTCCCTTGAAGAACTACTCCAAGCCATTCTGGGCGACTTGGCTGGCTGGGCTAAATTTTGGGGGTGACCCAAACTTGCGTTTTTCTCAGAAACTGACTGGTAATTTAAGTTCCTTGGCAGTTTTCATATTTAGTCTTACCTGTTGGGAAGTGTAGTGGACTGAGCTAAAATCGGGGCAGCTTGAGAGCTCTGGGTGCTTTTGGGTGGTGGGCCTGGGAAAAGGGACTTGAAGAACTCGTTTGTGTGACCAGAGAAGTGTATTGGTTATTAACAGAACCTCACATGCACAGCTGTCGAGAGCTTTCTATTCTTTAGCACGATGGTTGTATGGTTTGCCAATGGCAGCTTGTGGAGAGGGTTTTTATTTTTACTTTTTAATTGCAAAGGGGCATTTACAAATTCAGATGTGGCAGGGGACTGGAGAGGAACTTCCTGCGAAACTTTCTCTGCGGCTTCAGGGCGCGTGTAATATTAGCGCTGGAGCAGCCCCAGCAGAAGTCCCCCACAGTTTCTCCCTCCAGAGGGGTCTGAAGTCTGAACTGCCTTTGTGCAAACCTGGTAGCCAGCCTGGAATGTAGTGGAAGGTAAAGATGTAGTGATATATGCAGCTGCCACTGTCCAGACTTGAACTTTGTGCATTTTCTCCTTGAATATAAAAACTCAGGTGAGTCCCGAGGTAGTTACTCCTGTGGATCTCCCTGTGATGGGCTACTTCTGGGAGAGAAGAGAGAGGAAGTGTAGACAGAACCCATCCTTCCAAGATAGTGTTATGCGCCTGCTCAGAGAGGTGTCCCCTGACCGCTCTGAGGAAGTGGCCCTCCCTGGGGCACCTGCCTTGACCACCTGGGTATTTCATCATTGGATTTGGTGGGCTGTGTTGCTTTTCCACTCTTGGATTATAAGCTCCTCCGTGGAGAGGGACCTATCGTTCAGGAAAAATTGAGGGCCCAGGGAGGGGGCCCAAGGAGCCTGGGGATTGGAGCCTATCTGGGTTTGAATCTGGCTTTGCCTTCATGAGGCCTTGGGCCAGTGCCTGACCCTACCCAGTCCGGATCCTTCTCCTCACAGCTACGAGGATCCCAGTGCCTGACCCTCTCTGAATTCCAGATCCTTCTTCTGTCAGGATTTGAGGGTCCCCGTGTCAGACCCTCTCTCAGCTCCGGATCCTCCTCTTCTCAGGGCTGTGGGGATCCGTGCCTGACCCTCTCTGAATTCCGGATCCTTCTTCTGTCGGGATTTGAGGGTCCTAGTGCTTGGCCTCTCTGAGCCCTGGATCCTTCTACTCTCAGCCCTCAGCACATCTCTGACCCCTCCCATGCTCTTAGCACTTGGTGCCTGGACCCAGAGCCGGTCTCCTTCTGGATGTTGGAGTGGAACCTGTGGAGACAGGGAGCCTGGGCTCCTGCATCTGCCTAAAGCTGATTGAGCACTTGGTCTGTGCAGGACCATTGCTCAGGGGCTGGACATTCACCAAGACAGGCCCCTGGTGTCACAAGCTGACATTCTAGGAGACAGATAATGACCAGGGTGGCACAGAACTCCATACGAAGAACTTGTCAGGGGTCAGTATCAGGAAGGAAATAAAATTGGGCAACATGAAAGGGCACTTCCAGGAGATGCCAGAGCTGAAGTCTGCCAGGTGGTGGTGGTGAGGGAGGGTTTCAAGCACGGCGCATGCACAAGCCTTGAGAAATAGGGGGCCTGGGAGGGCATTCCGGCAGGGGTGAGGCCAGGTCCAGGTTTGGAGGCAGCTGCAGGGCTCTGTCCCAGGAAGGGTGGGTAGGGAGAGGAGGTGGAGCAGGCCTGTAGTGAATACTCCATGACTGTTCTGGAGCTGTGCTAGGGGCTGCTTGCTGGCTGCTAAGGGGGTGGCTGTGTGGATGTCAGTCTGGCACCGTGGCAGGAGGAGTCTTAATTTAACCTCTATTCCTCTGCCACTGTGAGGCCCTGGGAGGCAGGCTCATCTACTCTTTCTGGGGATGCCCCACTTGGCCTTAACCAGTAATAGCCAACTCTGCCCCTCCTGGCTGTAGACCAGGCCGCTGTAAGCCCTTTGTCCATGCATGTGTCATCTTGACAACCTTGGCAGAGAGGGTAGGTTATTGTTTCTACTGTGCATTGAGGGCAGTTGAGGCTCTGAGGGGCACTGTCACCTGCCTGAGGTCACTCAGACTATCCTCACTGGCCCAGGCTGCCTCTCGAGTTGGGAGGGAGCCTGAGCCACTGGATACAGCTATGAAAGGGAGTCCCACCGTGGTCTCCATTGCTAGTTGAACGCCAGTGTTCCAGGCTGCAGCGAGCCTAGGTGAGATGAATGGCTGTGCAAATTCCTGAAGTTGCCGGCTGTGACTGTGCTATATCCCCTCCTCCAAGAAACCCTAAAGATGATGATAATTAATACCTGTGGATCGTGCCCCACATGCCAGCACTGGCCTGAGGTGCACATGTTCCTTCGTCTCATCCCCTGTCAGCCCGCCCTGTGGCAGGGAGCGGTTCCCATTTCTCAGGTGAGGAAATGGGCGGAGACTCTGGGAGGCTGAGTCACCAGAAGGAATCTCCCAGCTGGGACAGGGCATTGGGCTCCAGTGCTGTGTATGGCCTGGAGCTCTGCCGCCCCCGAAGGGCTGTGGCTGGGCTAGATGGGCTGAGTGGAGTGGGCTGGCCTGTTGGCGTCAGGACCATGGCCTCCTGCTCGCTGGGCATAGGGGTTCAGTTTGCTTGTGTGTTTCATAGTGGGCACTTGATGGTTCTGGGTGGGATGAGTCCCTCCCAGAAGGTGCTTGTCTCATAGTTGCTTCAAGAGGGTGAGCACCCCGGGGTGTAGGGTGAGTGCTGGTGGTTACAGTAGGAGGCCCTCGAGGCTGTATGTGAGTGGCTGAGCCCAACCTCAGCCACTGTGACCCTTGACTAGGCTTCCAGCTCCATGTTGTTGGACATGGTGATTGTGTGTAAACAGCAGGCTGCTCACGGAAACCCACCCTCTGTTGACTCATCGGCAAGGCCAGAGTTCACCACCCTTGAAGCAATTTTGACATCATACCCGAATTGTGACATCTCTGGGGAGTCCTTGAAAAACAAGACTGCTTTTCCTGTT